ATACAGCAGTAGTGCTTATTTTTCCAGCACCCAAGTGCATAAGTGCGAGGCTCAGTAAAACACCCAGTGTACAAATAACTTTATTAACATGCTACCACCACCTAAGTCCACTTTCTTGGTCATCCCTGTTATTAACACTTCATCCAATTAAGTGGCAACTGGGGTACACCTTGTAAAATGCTCTCCATCATCTGGTGAAAAATGGCACAGGCTGACGATACTGCAAATGGCAGTCTTGTAATATTGGTACAAACTCTCATGGGTATTAATTGTAGCATACATCTGGGAATCCTCATCTAACCACAACTGCAAGTACGCATAGCTCATTTCTAGTTTCATGAAGGACAACACCCCTGCCAGCTCTGCATATAAATCACATGCAAGGGATTGCATGTCTAGCCAGCTGTGAAAAGCAGCTTACTGTTTGATTAAAATCCCCAAAAAGGTGAATCAACCAGTCAGGCTTCACAAAATTGGTACAACCGCTGCTGGCCATTCCACAAACTGGACTGGTTTGGATAATTCCTTTGCTTTCCGGCCTGACTTCTCCTCTACTTTTGCATGCAAGGCAAATAACACTGGGTAGGCCTTGCAGAATTGTTTCCTGGTCAACACGCAAGGTGGCGTTGACTCTTTTGAGAGCCCCTGAACCTTCCTGAAAAACTTCCGGTACTTAGTTAGAACTTCACACAGACACAGTCTTTTTCTAAATGGAAAAAGTGTTGAGCCGATCAAGGTGAATCCTTCTCAACCAACTTCACCCCATCAGGCTTGGGCCAGAGCCTTTTTACTATAAAATCGGTGATAACTAACCCAGTTGTTTCTCAGAACCAAAGTCATACTCTTTATATGTAAGATTCTGGCTGAGGTCTTATGCAAACTTAAGGGTTGGTGGCCAGAGCAAATTTTGTTTAAGACTGATTCGGCAATTGCTGATACAGCTGCACTGATATTGGCCTCCATTAGAACTGGCTGCCCATTTAGTTAGACATTTATTTTGATTGGTTCTGATTTAGATGTTGGTGAGCAATTTAACTGTTTCAAGCCACAGGAGGTGGGCTTTCCAGGGTGTGCAGTCTCCTGGATACTAACCTATGAGTTCTCTTACTCAATTTAGGTTTAGTGGGACTCTTTGGCCATCATAAGTCCACATGCCAGTAGCAACTACAATGCTTACCAGCCTGGATTCTAAAGAAAATTTTAACCACTTGGCAGCGGCTTGGCTTTATTTTGGGCTTTTGCTGCCGGCTGACCTTGCATCCCTCTGTTCAGGATATGACCTGAATGAGGCAATGCAATTACCTTCACTCAAGTGCTGTGCCACCAAGCTCAGTCGGCCTAGCGAGGGTGTCCGCTTCCATTGGCGGACCCTGCAACTCATGTGCTCCACTTGCCGCATTTCCAATGATAAAGCCAGTGTAGTGCATGTCTGAAGTCCAATTGGGCTTCAGCTAGTAAGCATTTTTGCTCAGTTACATCATTAATCCCACATACCAAGCAAACAATCTCTCAGCATCTTATGAGTTAAACTAAAGTGACAGGCCTCTGTCCGTCGGCTTAACCTAGTCAAAATTCCAAAACGGATTCCCCTGGTTCTCGAACTATCAAGTAAAGCTGATAGCGTCTCAGAATTAGAGAAGATTTGGGATTGTAATTCTAAGATTGTAAGAGTCACCTCTTGAAAGGTTTTAGTATCCAGTGCCCTCAGGAAATGTTAGACTCCTAATTAATGAAAAGCTGCGGATCCACAAGCTATCAGGAGAATTACTCGTTGCTTTTCATCTGCCCCAACGTCATTTGCCCTGAAAAAGTAATGCACTCTGTCCACACACTAGGCCCAATCTTCAACGGCAGGATCAAACGAGTCAAGCTTCGCAAATAATGGCGTGATGCCAGAAATGCTTACCCCCAAGATGACTGTTGCATGCAAATTTCTTTAAGATAGTTTTTTTTCCTCTCATGGCCACTGAAATAACTCCACGGAGGCTGGTATCCCATCTCCAAGTCACTCTTTATTTACACCTGCATAGTACTGTATCTGACACTGGTCTGGCTTCCTCAACATCAGGTCTCAGAGTGAGCAGAGACTCTGACACTCCTGTTTATATGTCAGCCAGGGCTCTTTAATTGGACCAGGTTAACAGCCCCAATCAAGAAACTCATTTTTTTGTCATGAGGTGACCCAGGTGGACCTCATTCACTACAAAAAGAACTCTTCCTCTTTAACTATGTGTGCAAAAAAAATGAGCTTCAGTCCAAATCAAACAAACAAAATCAAGATTGTAAACCATCTGCTAAACCTAAAAATAAAATAAATGAATTGCCAAATCAGAGAAATTTAAACATAAAAGTAGTTGTCGGATAAGTGTACAATATGGACATTAAACTGAAGTAACTCAACACCACTACCTTACGCAGAGGATGGTGAATAGAAGCCATAAATTGCTGTATGCAAAAATTATAAAAGCACTTATTCAAGAAATACAATGCGATCTCTTTCACAATGCTGAATATGGACGGAAAACAGAGAAAGTTCCATAAGCAAAGACAAGTGGATGCCACCATGATTTGGAAAAATACCTTCAATGAGCAAATTAAATAAAGAAAGATGATTAATCTGTTCATTTAATTTATCTCTCCCCACAGATGCTGCGAGATGTGCAAAGTTATTCCAGTAATGTTTTAAATTATACCTTTATGGATGACTGTTGTTTTACTGCAGTATTAAAGCAATTGCAGTGTTTGAAAAAAAAAAATCATCCTTCGTGCCCATGATTTCCAAAAACTTTCCTAACCTCACCAAGAGATAGTAGGAACTACTGATGCTAGAGAATCCGAGATAACAAGCTGTAGAGCTGGATGAACACAGCAGGCCAGACAGCATCACAGGAGCAGGAAACCATTTCTGAAGGAGGGTCCAGGCCCAAAACGTCAGCTTTCCTGCTCCTGTGATGCTGCCTGTCCTGCTGTGTTCATCTAGCTCTACACCTTGTTACCCCTAACCTCACCAAATTAGGTGTAATTCCTCAGATTGTAAAGAGTGTAAAAACACTTCAGAGTAAGCTGCCCAAGTTCTCTCATGGTATTTTAACACTAAGTTTGTCAGATCCACCCTTTTGCAAAATGGTATGTTGTCCAAAGACACCCAGAAGAGGGGAAAAATTACTTCTTTAGCGTTTGCTGGTAAGTTTTTTTGTTGGTAAAGGAAGAGTCAGTCTCTTCTTCAACCTTATACATCCAAATATTAACTGATTTTTTTTTTTAAAAAAATGCCCAAAAATGTAAACATTGAGAGTCAATGACTATTTCAATGGCTATCACTAACATATTTTGAAATTTAGAGATGTGCTATTCAACTCATACTAACTTTAAAGGAAGATTACTGAAAACAAAGGTCATGTTACCACAAAAAAGCTATTACGTTGTACATGCAAAGCAAAAGAGAAAAAAATTGGCTCATATAATACAATAAGTTTTATTTTCGTGGGCTGTTATATTCACTGTGGGGATTCAAAGCAATGTTTATAAATTTTGTATTACCAGCACAACAATAAAGATAGATTAAAAACCCATTAGCACATTTTTATATTTTGTTCTTACAAAACTGCACTAAATCTGGCACAACAACATTTCCTTTGTAATATTAGAAGGACTTGCAGATAAACTGAATACCACTCAAACTCCAAAGTGCAATATTGGGAAAGAAACAGAGCTAACAAGACAAATGTGATTGTGGCTAGAGTGGACACAATAATGGAGATCCAAGAGAACTGGGCAGGAGTATCTACATCAGGTTGCTAGCAAATAAAGAAACTGTCCCCATTTAACTGGAGGCAGTAAGGCCAAATGCGGGAATCTCACCTGCTAGCAGGATTGTCAATTAGGTTCATTAATAAGCAATATGATACCAATTATCATTACAATTTACTGGTAGCAGAGCAAGCTAAGTGCTGGTGGTATAGAGGTGAGCACAGTTGCCTTGCAAGCAGTTGATCTAGGTACGGCTCCTGGCCATCATATATTCTGAATGTTAAATCAATCAACAGGAAAATCCAAAATTTAAACAAATTTGATCAGTTGTCGGCTTGGCCCTGAAAATACACTGATGACTGTGGGATTAAATTGAAGCTTCATGGTTCTCTCAAGCCTCTCAAAGGCTACCCACCAAGCCTTGTCAGCAGTCCCAGGGATGCCTCTCAAAGAACTGTGTGTCAGGTTGGGAAATAAACTACTGAAGGCCACCTTGTTAGCATTAACCTCTCACCCACTTACTCTGTACAATTTCTCTGTTATGTATTTACATTTCAGATTTCCAGCACCTACAGTATTTTATTTCTATAATAGCATGTTTGGTGTTTTATTTTTCTGGTCACCTTTCCTGTAAAAGCAGTTTGTTTTTACCACAACCTAAATATTAAAACACTTTTTTCCACGTGCCTTTCTCAACCCAAGTTCAGTTTCACGTTAATCAGGAGAAACTAGTGTGGAAAACATCTTGACTCAATGAGCAATATTACATAGAGGGACTACAGCCAGTGAATTTTTAGGTCAAAATCGGTGCTAGATGCTAGTCATTCCAATCTGATGGAAATCTGTGAAGTTCTGAAATAAGCGCAGCGTCAACATCAAACAACTGTCGTTTCCAGATAGATTTGTTTACACTGCGCCGAAACTAAACAAAAAATCACATCAAAGGCCAATTGTGAATTTCCTGACTCAAAAAAAATTCGCATTTCCCCCCACCACCAAGATAATGCTGGTTTACGAGCGAGTGAATGAAAATCGGAGGTTCAAGTGTTACTAAAGAGTAAGAGTAGATTGTATTTTACAGATTTGTAGAAACTGATGTTAATTTTCGCCCCAATCCCAACCATGAAAGACTTATATCCGCACAAGAAGGAAACAAAAACAAAACAAAGTACAGTTGTCAGTCAACTATCAACAACACCAGGACCGAACTGCAAACATCCGAAAATAATGGTCAACAACAAAACACCCACCTGAAGATCGAGCTGCTGGGGTCTGCACCGGGAAACTGTGACGCAAAAAAAATGGCCAGAGGAAGAAAATGAACGCACAAACAGACCGGGACAATCACGGGGCCCCGGGCTCACTGCTTTCCGTCCGTCATCCGGCACGAAACTCGGTAACGGTCAGAGTAAACATCCACAGGCCGCGGGCACAGACTGTGACTGCAGGCCCCAGATCAGGTCAGGACAGGACCGACCCGACTACAACCGGCCCCGGCCTACAGTCAGTGCCAGGCCTAGGCCCTGCGGCCGCCTACCCAAGCCTACCTCACTGAAAATGAAGAAATACCAACAACCAACCTCTCCTCTCACTCTCTCAGGAAGGAATCTTCATCACACCGGAAGGGGAGGAGCAAAAAATTAACCTCCACAAAAAAAAGGGTTAAGTCACTCCAAGTTGGAAAAAAATTTCTCTCAACCTTTACAATCATGGGGAAAACACCGTGGAGTCACGACATGCCTGTGGTTCTACTGCAGTCACCCGTTTTGAACAACATAATATAGTTTTGGTTATTACGTAGTTAAAAATTACATTTATCCGTTGTGCTTCTCTTTGGTGTCAGTTCCACGAACGTTTATGTGGTTAGCATTTAGCTAAACCACATGTAATCTTCAGTTAGAGTTCTGTTGATAAAATCAAAAGCTGGAGAGGGGATCGCCTAAAAGAACTTGACTGCTAGATTGGGTTGGCAGCAGGTGGTGAGGGAGCCAACGAGAGAAAACCATGAATAACAAGGTGTAGAGCTGGATGAACACAGCAGGCCAAGCAGCATCAGAGGAGCAGGAAGGGTCTGCAGGGTCTAGGCCCGAAACGTCAGCCTTCCTGCTCCTCTGACGCTGCTTGGCCTGCTGTGTACATCCAGCTCTACACCTTGTTATCTCAGATTCTCCAGCATCTGCAGTTCCTACTATCTCTGAGAGAAAACCATACTTGACTTCATCCCACCATTTTGCTTGCCACAGATGCATCTGTCCATGAAAGTCCCATCATCACAGTAAGGATGACCTCCATTGTGTTGAGTGGCAGTATTGCTAATAAGTGAACTTCAAAACAGGTCTAGCACCTCAAGATTGGGCCTCCATGAGAAGCTGTGAGTGATCAGCAGCAGATTTGTGCTCGGACACAAACAGCAACCTCATGGCCCAGCACATCTTCCACACTACCATTACCATCTACCATCAAGTCTGCTCCAATGCAGAGGACATACCAAGAGTTGCATCAGACATACCAAAAACATTAGGTGTAAACTTGGTGAAGCTACAAAACAGGTCTACTTCCATACCAAACAGTTTAAGGAACAAGTGATAAGCAGTTCTACAACCAAACAGGTCACAATTAATCTCTGAAGTCTTGCCACATCCAGTTCTGAATGGCAGTGGACTCCATGGAGGAGGGTCTGCAACTATCCCCATCCTCAGTGATGGAAGAGGCCAGTACATTGATACAAAAGATACAGCTGCAGTAATCTTCAGCCAGAAATACCAAATGGATAATTGAATTTGGCCTACTCCAAAAGATGCCAATCTTCAGCTAACTCAATTTACACCAAGTAATATCAAGAAATGGTTGGAAGCACTCATACTGCAAAGGCAATGGGTCCTGTAAACACTCTGGCAACAGTACTGAAGATGTGTGCTCCACAACTTGCCATGCCCATAGTCAAGCTGTTTTAGTACAGCTATAACACTGGCACATATCCAACAACGTGAAAAAATGCCTAGTTATGTACTGTACACAAAACAGAAGACAAATATTACTCAGCCAGTAATTGCCCCTTCAGTCTATTCAATAATGAGTAAAGTGATAGAAGGTGTCATCAAGAGCATTATCAAGTAGCATTTACTTAGCAATAACCTTCTAACATTCAGTTTGAATTCTGCCAGGGTACTCAGCTCTTGACCTCATTATAATCTTGGTTTGAACATGTAGAAAAGTGTTGAATTTCAGAAGTGATGTGACAGTGACTGCCCTTGACTTCAAGGCTACATTTGTCCAAGTGTGGCACCTAGCAAAATTAGTCAATGGGAATTGGGGAAAATCTATTTGCTGGTTGGAGTCATACCTAGCCCAAAGCAAGATGATCGTGGTTGTAAGAGATCAGTCTCTCAGCTCCAGGTCATTTCTGCAAGACTTCCTTAGGGTAGTAATCTATGCCCAACCATCTTCAGCTGCTTCAATTACCTTCCTTCTAAGAAGTCAGAGTTGGGAATGTTCATCATCATTCATCACTCCTCAGATATTGAAGCAGTCCAGATGCAGCAAGGCCTGTACAATAGCCAAGTTTGGCCTGACAAGTAACATTTGTGTCCACAACTACCAGGCAATGACCATCTCTAATTACAGGGAGTCTAACCATCACCACTTGACATTCAAAGTCATTACTATCACTTAATCTCCGTATATCAATATCCCTGGGGCCACCATTGACCAGAAATTGAACCAGCCATATACATACTGCGGCAACAAGAACAGCTTAGGGGTTAGGGCTAGGAAACCTACTGCGAGTAAAAAAGGAATGGGTAGGCCATTCAGCCCAACAGGGAGCCAAAGGAGGCATGGTGGCTCAGTGGTTAGCACTTCTGCCTCAAAGCGCCAGGGATCCAGGTTTGGCCCCAGCCTAGGGCAATGGTCTGTGTAGAGTTTGCATATTCTCCCTGTGTCTGCATGGGCTTCCACCAGGAGTTCTGGTTTCTTCCCACAGTCCAAAGATGTGCAAGTTAGATGGATTGGCCATGGTACATTGCCCAGAGTGTCCAGGGATACATGGGGAATGCAGAGTTAGCAGGATAGGGTGGGATGCTCTTTGGGTGGTCAGTGCAGTCTCAAAACGCCAAATGGCCTCTTTCCAGACTGTAGGAAATCTATGATCAAGCCTGTTCACCATGTAGTACAATTATTGCTGATTGGACCATCCATTGCCTTTTAGCCACACTATAACCTTTTATGCCAACGATAAGGATCTATTAATTTCTACTTTAAATATACTCAAAGACTGAACCACCGTTGTATTCTGCGGTAGAGAATTCCAAAGATTCACCTCTTTTGAGTTAAATAACTTCTCACCTCAGTCCTAAATGGCATTCCCCTTATTTTTACACTGTGCACCCAGTTGAAGACTCACCAATTGGGGAAACCCTTACCTGCACCTACTTCATACATTCCTTTAAGTATTTTCTGGATTTCAATAAGATCACCCGTCATTCTTTGAAACTCTAGAGAATACCAGCCGAGTCTGTCCGATCTCTCTTCACAGGATAATCCCATCATCCTAGGATAGAGTCTGGTGAGCTTTTTTTTTTTAAATCATTCCCTTTATTGACACTATCCAGAACAAAACATGGTTGGCATCACATCCACAAACATTCACTCTCTCCACCAGTGACACTCAGGATTAGGACAGTATACTAACTACAAGACACACTGCAGAAATCCAGCAACACTCCTTAAACAACACCTTCCAAACCCATAACCACTATCATCCAGAAGGAGAAGGGCAGCAAATACATGGAACATGACATCCTGCAAGTAACCCTCCAAGCCACTCTTCATCCTCATTTGGAAATATGTCACCATTCCTTCACTGTCACTGGATCAAATTCCCATATCTCCCTCCCCATTCAAAATTCTGAATTCAAGACACAAACAGATCATCCATGATCTTATTGAATCACACAGCAGATTACAGGGGCCAAATGGTCTACTTCTGATCCTATTTAACTTGTTGGTACAATGTTGTACAGACAGTAGAAGATCTTCAGATCTTGGAGGAATAACTGCCACCTTGGTCTTCCTCATTGCCCCTGTAACAATGGATATTACATTGGTGTAACATGTAATTAATTACCATCATAAAGATAAACAACATCTTGTTTAAGACAGCAATCTCTTCTTGCTAGAAGTGAGCAGTTTTCTTCTGCTGCATTAGACCAAGCAGGGTCAGTAGATCCTGACTTGAAAACTGGATGATACTAGTAAAGCTACCAGAAAGCTCACACAAGCAGCTAAGGATTCATTTTTAAGTGAGATGAACAAAGTTCACACAACTTCCATGGCCTGGGAATTTGTTTAAAGATGTGGGCCACCCTGTGGCTTGGGGGATTTTGTTCTTTTAGTAAGGTAAAAACAGCACGAATAACCTCATTGCTTTAGACACCTAAAGGGGTAATAAAGCAGAAAAATTTTAACAGTTGTAGTGGACTACTTGTTACATATAATGTAACTCATCAAAATTAGTTGTATTAAACTCTCAAGTTCCAATACAAAATGAATTTTCAGTTAGAAATTAGATAGCATCTAAAAACCATCTATTTAAGATCAGCTGAATTTCTTATTCAACCAATTGTCTAAGTAACATTAACGAGTGTTGGACCAAAACGCCCTTAATTTTGCATTTAAATTTGCTCCTGAAGAATTGAATGAGTGGCAACACCTGAGTCAGAATTCTTTGAAAGGAGGAAGAGTTTATATATTCATTTAAGTAAAAACTTAATTGGTGAATTATCTAAACTCAAACACACTTTCACTTGGTAGTTATGAAATATTTTAAAACCATTTTCATTAACTAATTAAATACTTTCAGAAGTCAGACGAAAGGTTATAGTCCAACAGGTTTATCTGAAATCACAAGCATTCGGATCGTTGCCCGGAGCCTTCTGACCTTGTCCACCGCAGTCCAACGCCGGCATCTCCACATCGTAGCTACCAATCAAACAACTATCAATCCAATGGTGTCGGCAAATGGGCCCTGGGGCTATATATAGCGCCTGAAACCGATCCGTATAGCAAAGTATAGAAATCAACAGCATGATGTTCTTAATGCAGACGGCCTAGTGAATTAATAGGTAATTCGAAAGACTAAGTTGAAATTCATTAAGAAAATGGAAGAACCAGCGATTTATCAGCAGGTGGAAAGTGCCGAAAGACTGAAAAAATTCAAATACTATTTCAACGAAAAAGGGCAACTGAGGCACATTGAAACAAACGAGCCATTTTTCTTTAAACAACACGGTAATGCAACCAACTGGAACCACCAATGGTACAAAGCCTTTGGGACAGCTCTGGCCGAATACGTCTACGAACTATTGGAGAAAGAATGTCTGTTGAAACGAGTCTATATTCCCGTTGATACAGCAAAAGATGACGGAAAAAGTTTCTGTTTCATGAGTGAAAGGGCTCTGACCAATTCTTCCAAACTGATTGTTCTGCTGCAAGACCGTGGAGTGATGCGGGCTGGTACCTGGTCCCAGCAGTTGATTCTGCACGATTGCTTGGACACCGGCACTCAAATCCCTTTTATTAAGAAAGCTTTAAGCGAGCGGTATGAAGTGATCGTGTTAAATTGTAATGACAGCTTTATGGCCGTTAAACAAGGCGATGACGCTGAAAAGAAAAAGCAACTTGATTCTGATGAAAGGGAATCAAAGCTTGAACAGACACCAGTCGGGGGTGTTGAAAGTGTTGAAGCGTACACCACCTACATTTGGGACCAGTTTATATCAAAGTTTCCTGATAGGAGTGTAGCTTTTATAGCACATGGCTACGGCGGGTTGCTATTTGTGAATCTCCTAAACGAACGTAGAGATGTCATGAGCAAAGTTTATGCTGTGGCCTTCATAAACTCTGCTCATGATGCAGATCACCAAAACGTTGAGCAAGTTGGTCGGGATTGGATTGAGAAACATTGCCGTAATTGGTTGCTGAGCCCCAAACCTCTAGACAAACCTGTCCCCTCTTTAAGGATGGGCTGCGCGCAGGTTTCTGCCGGCACTGAAAAGCATGATTTGGCACCCACAACTTGCTTTCACTCCATCTTCAAGCACTTGAAGAAAGTTTCAAACATGCAGAATACTAACCGGATCATTCGATCGCCAATCGTTACAAGAAGTTTAAGTAAGAAAAACTATAGAAAGCAATAAAAAATGTAGATTTGTTTGCTGAACTTTGTCAAATACATCAATGATATTTGGTAACTTGTAATCATGAACAGAAAGCACTCTACACCAGAAACGTGTTTCTCCATTGATGTTTTCTCTAGTGTATTTTAAGCTTTCTAGCTACAGATTATTTTGCTTTAAGAATGCTACGCAATGACTTGTGCACTTAGGAACACTTGTGCCCAGGCTAAATTTCAAGCTAACCAACGAAGATTTTTACTTCGCGGTGAATGTACATTCGAGAGACGTGATTTTTGCAGCGTTCTTCTGATCGCTGAGATTGTGCCTGTTGATATCTGTGGCCTATTGCTATATACAGGAGCCTGAGTGGTGGGAAACCTATTGAAAACATCGAATTTTCGATCTTTTCAACACTACCCTCTACAAAGCAATTAAAGCTTTCTATATTGCGACTTACATCAATGTTCAACAGATTCTTGACTGTCTTCTAAGAATACATCCAGTAGTATAATAACGTATTTCAAAACAGTACTCATTTCTGATGAAGGGTCTAGGCCGGAAACGTCAGTCTTTCTGTCCTATGATGCTGCTTGGCCTGCTGTGTTCATCCAGCTCTGCACCTTTGTTGTCCCAGTAACTTTGTGTTCCGATTGTGTTGTTAGCCGCCACCGAATTGGTATGTGAGTGGTTTCATGTGAACTTCGAGAATTTTTTTTTCTTGGTTTTTTTTTCATAGTAAGTCAGTTACATGGTCTTAATTTTTATTTTTTCTCAATGGTCTAGTGTGTATCTAGATCGTGTCACAGGCCACAATAATGTTGAAAAACTGGACAGCTTAATTATAGAATGGTCTCTGTTACATTCATTGTCTCTATGGTGTAGTTTTAATTTTGGGTAGAATAGAACTTGATCGATCTGTTTTGACTGAAGGCTTCAAAAATGAACACTTTATGGATTCTGTACGATAAAGAACCACAACCCGAGTGTTATCACCTTTTGAGTGTAAGAGTGGGGATGTTATGTTGACGTTGTACAAGATGTTGGTGCGGCCACTTCCGGAGTAGGTCCAGTTCTGGACGCCCTGTTATAGGAAGGTATTAATAAGGTGGAGAGAGTTCAGAAAAGATTTACCAGCATGTTGCTGGGAATGGAGAATTTGCATTATAAGGAGAGGCTTGCTAGGCAGGGACTTTTTTCAATGGAGTGCAGGCAGTTGAGGCATGACCTTTTGTAGACGTTTATAAAATCATGAGGGGCATAGATAAGGTGAATGGCAGATGCCTTTCCCCCTGAGGTGGGGTATTTCAAGATTTAGCATATTTTTAAGGTAAGAGGAGAAATATTCTTGAATTTTTTTTTTAAAAAGAAGCTTTTTTAATGTGTGGAATGAAGTGACAGGTACAGTTACAACATTTGAATAAATGCACAGAAAGGAAAAGTTTGGAGGGATATGAGCCAATTGCTGGTAGGTGGGACTAGTTCAGTTTGGGATTATGGTTGACCTGGACTAGTCGGACCAAAGACTCTTATTTTCCGTGCTGTATAACTCTGATTCTATGACTAATAAATAGTTGGGCCTCAATTCCTAATTTGGAGAAAGAGTAAAATCTCTAATGATTCATGTGCCTGGTTGCTATCCACTGTCTGCTTCTGGATAATGGATATTATTTGAAGGGTGGCTTGGACTTAGTTATGCTGGTCCACTCCTTTTTCAACATATTCCAGGCCCACTCTATACTACTTTAATTTGGAGCAATAAGTCACAAAGGTATCTTCAGCAGCATTCCCCAAATTGTGTGTGTGTGGTGAAAGTTTTGGACAAGAGGAGCAGGTGTGTGGAAAATACAATCTGATTTGGATCTATTGTTCCTGAATCAAAATTCTGATGCACCCAACCTAACTGCCCTATGGAAACAACTTCACAACACTGCCAGTCATCATTCAAGAAGGCTCACCAACACCTTCTAAAGGAACTAATAGGTGATGGAAACCAAATGAATAAATTTTCACCTCATCAACAGTGTTTTTCCCCCCGCCCCCAGAGAATTAAAAATACACTTCCTCCTATATCTATGCTTGCAAAGAAAAGGCATTTAAAACAACAAAACGATCACTAAATGCAGGGATAGCAAGAATTACATATGCTGGAGTCAGAGACAACGTAGTATGGAGCTTGAGGAACATGACAGGCCAGGCACCATCAGAGCAGCAGAAAAGCTTCTGCATACGTGTCATTCTCTGCCACTTCTGCCACCTACAATCCGAACCCACAACCAAAGAAGTACTTCCCTCCCCACCTCTATCTATCATTTGTAGGGATTGCGCTCTCTCCACGACTCCCTTATCTGCTTCACACTCCCCACTACTTTTCCCTACAACAGCAGGAAGTGCTACACCTGTCCCTACATCTTTCTTTCCCCATCCCATCCAAGGCACAAAACAAACCTTCCATATCAGACAGGTTCGCCTGCACATCCATCAACTTGGTCTTCTGTATCACTGCTCCCGATGTGGCCTCCTGTACATCGGTGAGCCCAAGTGTAGATGTGGAGACCTTTTTGGAGAGCATCTGCGCTCTGTACACAACAAATAATAATACCTTCTGGTTGCCAACCATTTTAACTCCCCCTCCTGCTCCCTGGGTGACATGTCCATCCTAAGCCTCCTCCAGTGTCACAATGATACCACCCACAACCTGGAGAAGCAACACCTCATATTCCATCTCGGGAGCCTACAGCCCGATGGCCTAAATGTGGATTTTACCAGTTTTAAAATCTCCCCACCCCTGGCCTCATCCCATGACCAACCCTTCCTCTCATCCTTGCCTCCTTGACCTGACACAACCAATCCATTTTTTCTCCCACCTATCTGCCCCACCCATCCCACTGACCAATCCCCAACACTCCCTACCTGCACGCACCTATCACCATCCCACCTACCTTCCCCAGCCCCACTCTTCCTCTATTTCTGAGCTCCTTTTTCCCCTCCCCATTTCTGAAGGAGGGTCCTTACCCAAAACGTCCTTTTTTGCTCCTCTGATGCTGCCTGGCCTGCTGTTGCTCCAGCTCCATAATCAGTAAATGCAGAATGTAATTGAACAATGGCTAGTTCCAGATTCAGCTCCTGATTTATAACTGAAGAGGAAGAGACAGACTGTTACTTCCAACTAAATTTAAGTAAAATTAAAGTTGTTTTCACTTAATTTTAATCCACCGGATTTAAAATTAAGCCCTAAAATCTTAGCTGTTAGCTTTGTAGCTTGCACCATATGGTTATGATGAGACACTATTGAGCATGTGCATTTAGTGACTGACCTGTATGGTAAAAATTGCTGTATAGGAAAACCTGTTACCCTGTTACATGCCTCTTTCCTAATTTCAAGTTAGCAAAAGTTTTACACATTTATCATATTTAAACAGTTCAAGAAAAATCTAAGGCACAACTGCACCTTCTCAGAATCCAAACTAAAACAATTACAATAGGTATGTTTAGACAAGTAAGACTACCTATGATTCTCCACCATCCCCAATAAAGGTGACAGAACATCTGTCAGTGATGTTGATGAAGCTGTTGTAATTTTTTACAATTCTGCCATTGCTTTAAAAACTCTTAAACATTTTCTATAAAATCCAGTGATTTTTAAAATTGAATTGATCCATTGGATTAAGAAATTAGTCAAATGTTAAAACAAAGTGGCCCTACCATTAACAACTGAGATTTTAGTTGTTGACCTGCTATGCTGCAAAATTCCTTCCTAAGCCTCCATCCCTTTACTCAAAATCCATTTCTGATATCCCATTCTGGCATCACTTTTGTCTGATTACACCAATGAGATACGTTTTTGACTGGTTCATATGCTGACATCACCACGTGATGGTAATTTGTCATTGTATGACACTAGACAAATTTACATGTGAAAAATTTATCATTTGCTTGTACAGCCAAGTATAACTGCATCTCCAGGAAGAAAATTGGATGTAGGAACAAAAAGACTATACCTCTTTGCTTTTAAAGTAAAGATGTGTGCTGTGGTCAAAAATGATAGATTCAGACTATAACCACATTAATTCTTCTTTATTTAAGCAGCAAATGTTTTGAAAAATGTTGCACCTGTAAGTGTGCACACAATTGTTTGAATCCTTTACCAATTCTCAGTGGAAGTACTTACTGTCATAGTCATACAGCACAGAACAGACTCATTGGTCCAACCAATCCATGTTGACCATAATCCCAAGCTAAACTAGTCCCACTTGCCTGTGCTTGGCATATATCCCTCAACATTTCATTCATATACTTATCCAAATGTCTTTTAAATATTGTAACTGTACCCTCATCAGCTGTTCGTCTGGCAGTTCATTCCACACAACTCATTGTGCTTCTCTTTTGAAAAAAAAAGTCCATTGTCTCTTTTTAAAATCTTTCAGCTCTCCTTAATTTGGCTCCTCGTCTTGAAATCCTACACCGTAGGGAAAAGACACCTGCCATTCACCTTATCTATATCCTTCATGATTTTATAAAGCTCTATAAGGTCACCCCTCAACCTCCTATGCTCCAGTGAAAAAATGTCCCAGCCTCTCCTTGTAATTCAAACTCTCTATTCCTGGCAACATCCTGGTAGATCCTTTCTGAACCCTCTACAGTTTAATAATATCCTTCCTATAATGGGCGACCAGAACTGCACACAGTACTCCTGGAGAGGCCTCAATGTTCTGAACATAACTCCCATACTCAAAGGTCTGAGCAATGAAGGCAAGCATGTAAATGCCTTCTTAACCAACCTGTCTACCTGTGACGCAAATTTCTAAGAATTATGTACCTGAACCCCCGATGTCTCTCCGTTCTACAACACTTCCCAGGGCCCTACCATTCATTGTATAAGTACTGATGTTGTTTGTATTACCAAATCCTGGGCACGCTGTCTTTTTCGGAACCCCTTTAATCAGGAATCAGTCTACAATTAGCCTTCAGGACTGGCTTCATAATCAAATAAAGCTTGTTTGGTTTCTTTTCCAACAGCCCCTTTTCCACACCACAATCACTTCACCACAAGCTATTCTAAAGTATGTGATTAATTTCCAGCTCACAATTTTAATTTGATAAAATATTGAAACCAAAAAATTGAGAAGTGAGGATTCTTGCACAATGTTTGCAGTATTGTACTTTTACCTTCAAACGTGAAGTTGGTTAGAAGAACCACAATACAAATAAAAAAATTATAGAGTACATTTTAATCACATGCAAGGTGACCAAAGATCATTGTGCTCCAATTACTGTATGCCTGACAAACAGGAAGTCTTCTCTGATCTATGCTGAGTTAGCTGATATCAGCTGGCTCAGTGCTAAGGGGTTTTACACCTTGCCCCATCTACAGTCTGAAGGAAGCACCAACTTGCTGTTCATGACTTAGTGATAGAAAATATGACAGGTGTGTGAGGACAAGATTAGGCTAGAACATTATGCCTCTGCTGATTAAATAATTTGGAAACAGTAGGTTCACACTTGAGTAGTCATCTCCTCAATGCATCACAAAATTACATCCTGAACCACATGTCTGCATGAGCAACCTTATTTGGGACAGAAAAATAACGTTGAGGGGAGAAAACCACAACCAGTAGGCGTGTCTGTTGACACTTTGTATCCATACATTAGAACTGTGTACGACGTGCTAGAATGTGGGTTCAAGCCACATTCCAGAAGTAAGTACTTCTACTCCATAGGAAAACTTGGAGATTGAAAAAAAACACATTCACCAAGGAGCATGAGCTTACAAGTGGGTTAGAAACCTATCACCTTAGTATACGAATGATGTGTAAGTGCAGAAACCGTATTTCTCCTTCCGGTTGAAATTATGACTTCCTTTCCAATAGCCTTTTCCATGTACAGGGTTTATTTCTTAGATATAATTTTTGAAAAACACAGCTTGGAAAATCTCCTATCTAGAGAATTCCTGTCAAGTGCTAATTGGGAAAACACCAATTGTCAGTCAAATAAATTTTCCAAAGCTAATCTTTAAGGCAAGTTTGTGGTGGCAGACCTGCCAATGAGCTGAGATTTGCAGCTGCAGAAAACTGAAATTTTACACAATAGAGGAGCATAACTCATTGTGTGGAGTCCATTCATCACGATTCTTGCAAAGTTCTTACAAGAAATTTCTCGTCAATTAACGTTGTGGACTATCCACTTTGCATCAAATCTCAATACTCCTCAACAAATGGACAGTTGATGTCTTGAAATTGCATTCTGTTCAAGTATTTGCAAACCACGGCACACTGCCAGTCCATTTAGATGCCATGATAAAGGAGGTCATACTTTGGGACATTCCTTGGATCAATAGGGCTGTGTACTATCAGCTTTCCTCGCATTGCTCCTCGGAATATTACTTCAATTAAATCTATGAAGTCTTGCTTTGTTTTGAAACACCCAATAAACTTCGTATGATCTGGAGACCTAAAACAAAACAGAATAGAAACACATTTTTACCAATGTTCGCAATTTTACTTTCAAAAATCCAATGGAATTAAATGATTCATGCTAATATACTTATAAATAGCAAGAAGACACAAGAAGCAGGATTGGGCTATGTTCGGATCAGTTGGGACTAAGTTGGGAGTTTACACACAGAGGTTCAGGGCTTGAGGTACTAAATTAATACTTTCCATCCCACTTTCCCAAGGAAGAAGATGTTGCCCAGATGAAAGACAAGGTTGTTCAGAGATTGGAAAAGTTTCAGACTGATGAGGCTGTCTGTACTTAAATTTGATAAGTCACTAGAATCACCCAAATATAGAAGCAAGTGAGAGTGGAAATTACGGAGGCATTGGTATAATTTTTCAGTCCTCCTTAGACACTGGAGTGGGGGTAGTGCCAGATGTCTTCAGAATTGCAAATGCTATACACTTGTTTAAAAAAGGGTGTAGAAATAAACCCAGCAAGTGCAAGTCAATAAGTTTAACTTTGGTAGTGGGGAACTTTCTGAAACAGTAACTCTCAACAAAATTAATAGCTGTTTGGGCAGAATGGGTGAATAAAGGAAAGCTATTTTGGATTTGATAGGGGCAAACCATGTTCAACTAATGTTCTGAATTTTTTTTAAAGAGATAAAAGAGGGTTGGTGAGGATAATGTTGTTTAATGTGGTGTACAGGGACTTCCGAAAGGAATTTGATACAATGCCACAAAACAATGTCAGCAAACCTATAGCTCATGGAATAAAAGGCACAGTAACAACATTGATATGAAATTGACCAAGTAACCAGAAACAGGGAATTGTGGTTAACATTTTTTTTTCAGACTGAAGGAAGCTTAGTAGACAAATTTCCAAGGGTTTAATGTTTGGTCCTTGCTTTCCTATATATATTGTTGACCTAGACATTTGTATACAGGAAACAATACAGATTTTGAGGATAAGACATAATTTGTGAATTGTGGCGAGGATAGACTACAGCTTAAAAAGATCAAAGGGACAAGTTGGTGAAAATGAAACTCAGTGCACAGAAATGGGAAGTGATTCATTTTGGTAGGAAGAATATGGAAAGACAACATAAAAGAGTTCAATAACAAAAGCAGTACAGGAGCAAAGGGATCTGGGTATTTTTGTCATAAGTCACTGAAAGCAGTAGGACAGAGTGACCCAGTGGGAATAAAGTTTGATTTGATTTATTATTGTCACATGTACTGAGATACATTGAAAAGTACTTTTTGCATGCTATCCAAACAAATCATAACTTACATAAGTATATCAGGGTAACAGAATGCAGAATAAAATGTTACAGCTACAGAGAAGGTGCAGTGAAAGATCAACTCTCATAAAAAAGAGAGGTCTGTTCATAAGTCTGATAACAGCGGGGAAGAAGTTGTTTCTGAATCTGTTGGTATGTGTTTTCAAACTTTACTAGCTTCTGTCCAATGGAAGAGGGTAGAAGAGAGTACAAGTGGGATGGGAAGGGTCTTGGATTATGTTGGCTGCTTTCCTGAGACACTGAAAAGTGCAGATGGAATTAATGAAAGGAAGGCTGGTTTTCGTGATGGACCGGGGTGTGTTCACAACTCCCTGTGACTTCCTGCAATCTTGGGGAAAGCAGTTGCCATATCAAGCGGTGATACATTCAGAATACATGCTTTCTATGGTGCATCCATAAAAATTGGTAAGAGTCATTGTGAACATGGCGAATTTCCTTAGCCTGACAAAGTAGAAGCATTGGTGTGCTTTCTTGACTGTAGCGCGACATGGATGGACCAGGACAGATTGGTGATATTTACTCCGAGGAACTTCAAGCTCGACCATCTCCACCTCAGCAACATTGATACAGACAGAGTCGTGTCCTCCACCCCTCTTCCTGAAGCCTATGACTAGCTCCTTCATCTTGCTGACATTGAGGGAGAACTTGTCGTCTTTACAACGTGCCACTAAGCTCTTGCTCTCTTTTCTGCACTCTGTCATGTCGCTGTTTGAGATCTGACCCACTCCAGGGTTGCATCAGCAAATTTGTGAATGGAATTAGAGCTGAATTTGGCCACACAGTTGTCTGTGTAAGAAGTATAGTAAGAGGCTGAGTATGCAGCCTTGTGGGGCACTGGCGTTGAGGATTTTTGTGGATGAAGTGGTGTCGCCTATCCTTACCGATCCACTACTTATTCTGCACTCTGGCTGATATCACTGCCAAGTCAAGAAACTGAGTGTGTGCAAGCTGTAGGAACAAGGCTTCAAGCAGTGCTAAGTATTTGGTGGTAGAGCACGTACATCTCAGGTAGAATCCTGATTTATAGAAATTATTAGTAGGTGGCTGGTTGGAATGAGGTAAATGGTGCAATGCCTGAGGCTAATAATAGCATTTGATAAGATGGCATTTGAAGATGCAATCACTAATCTTGACCATTCATGTGAGGTCACTGAACTTTCTGCAATGCTACATTCTCTGTAATCTTCTCCAACTCAGAAGTGTGCTCGGAGAGCTTCCTGCAGATACAGCAAATCTCCAGAAGGGTCAGGAAGTCAAGGATCCAGCTGCAGAGAATGCAGCAGAGTCCTAGGTCACAGAGTTTAGAGACGAGTTTGATTGGAATTATCGTGTTGAAGGTGGAGCTAAAATCAATAAGTTACAGTCTGATGTGGGAGTCCTTGATATCCAGATGTTCCAAGGATGAGTGTTTAGAGTATCCTGGACTTTATTAACAGGGATACAGAATACAAGTGTGAGGAGGTTATGTTAAATTTGTATCAACTATTGGATCAGCCTCAACTGGATTACTGCATCCTCTCTGGACTCTACACTTTAGGAAAAATGTAAAGGCTTTAGAGAGAGTGCACAGAGGATTCACAAGAGTGGTTCCAGGAATGAGGAACTTCCAGAGTGTAGATAGATTGAAGAAATTAGGACTATTTTCCTTGGAGGAGATTAAGTGAAGATTGATTGTAGTATTGAAAATCATGAATGGTGGGGATGAAGTAAAACTGTTTCCACCGTTGTAAGAATTGAGAATGAGAGGGTACACGTTTAAGGTAATTGGCAATGGAGGCAATGGAGACACGAGGTTGACTGGGTTTGGAGAAAAAAATTTTTCCTGGAGACAACAGAATCAAAGACGGTAGTGAGGCAGTGGTAAAATATGTTTAATGCCACTGAAATAGTGACAACTTAAGATATGATTTAACAGATTAAAGGTAAAATGTGAGCATCAGCAGAATTATGGATTGTAGAGTAGCTAACAATTAAAAGCAAAGATTTCAAGCCGTCATTTTCAATAGAGAAACTGTTTATTGGTTAATTTTAATTGATTGTTACCCCTATCAGATAAGACAAAGAGAAATATAGTGTTTCTTCATTCCATATTGATCAAGATATTTAACACAACAATCAACATTTACAAATGTTTTGTAAAGCAAGATATCTTACCCATAATCCACCTTCATATGTTGGCCATTGAAGAAAAAAACTGTGGAAGGAATGTAACTGATGTCAAAGTAGCGAGTGTATATAGGCACACTGTCAACATCCACCAGGTAAATAGCTGCCATTTTACTCAGGTCATGAGCAGTTTTTGAAAGCTAGTGAAACAAAGGTGAAAAAAACTTGATATTGAGACCTTAATCAATATAATTATTTTGCCTCGGAAGGAAAACTAGTGTAAACATGTTCGCCAGATTTAAACAACAGGTTTCGACAAATCCGATCAGGTTTGAAGAGATTGAAATTATGTTTCATATATCTTGTTCTTTGTGGCAAGAGAGTTTATAGACTTCCTCAGTCTTACTCCTCATTCTACATCAGCATTACAGGTGCTCCATAGTATATGCTCAGACAATTAATACCCATTACCTGTTTCTTAAACTTAAAAAAAATGACAATAACAATGGGATTAACCAGACATTAATAACCTGCTGAATTAACAATAAGAAAAAAAAAGACATAGTTCTTATCTTAGCATATATTTCAGCAATTGTTTTGTATTGGCAAAGATCAAGAAGGTATCTCAAATCAAAACTTTGCATAGAAACTTACTTCAGGGAACATAAAGAGAATTATCTCAAAAATGGAATGTATTCCTTTGACAGCATACATTTCAAGAGCTGCTTCACTTACTTCTGAGGATATTTTGAGGGAATAATTTTACATTTAGATAAATTTTATTCATATTTATAAATTTAATCAACTTTTTGTACCTTGATATAATTTGCCAATAGATCCTCAAGTTTGATTCACTGAGGAATTTGTGTATCTTAAATTACAAGAACAAACCTTGAAAGATTAGCTACCAAAGAATCATTTTTCAAGTTGTTTTCAATATGTTTATTATTGCTGTCATTAAACCAGTTTTATTCCTTTTCCAGCAATTTTGTGTTGTCACGTGTTCCATATTGCAGGTGACAATATGCATGAAATCTTTTCCCATCAATATTTTCCTCTGCCAAAAGGTTTAAACATGCAAACTTAACTTCTAGCAAACTCATTAAGATGTCCTTATGCAGCACATTATGGATCAATATTTGAATTAACAACATATATTTGTGGTGCAGCATTACATAGTTAAATATCCTAAGGTTCTTCACAGTAGATAACAAACACCATGGAACAGAAGTAAATATTAGGACAGATGAACAAACACTTGGTCGATGAGGTAGGTTTTGAGGTGTAACTTATAAGAGGTGAAGAAGAAAAAAAAAGGGGTAGGGAAAATCCAGAGCATAGGTTTAGGTTAAATGCGCCAAAAAGCTAAAACTGGAGGGGTACAGGCCACGGTACTCCATAAATAGTTAGGACTGGGAAAGTTCAGAGATTGGGATGTATGAAGTCATAGAAGCATTTGAAAACAAAGAACTTACATCTGAGGCTGTACTATAGTGGCAACAAATTAGTTCAGCAACAACTTGAGCTTAAGCATCTCATCACCTCAAAACTTAAAACATAACAATGTATTTTGAAATGCAGCGTCTGTTTAAACAAACATTACCTGCATGCACCACCACAGTACAATAAATACAAGATACACTTAATCTCTTTAGTGTTTTCAGTATTTTTAGAAATTGTACTATTTTCTTTCAGAATAGTTTTCCTGAATAACAATGAAGTGTTAATTTAGACAGCACCTCATTCTAGAAGTTGTATTTACAATTTCGTGATTAAGAG